TTGCTTACCTTTCATGCATATCTCACATGACTTCTCAGGCTTCACAATTTTTGAAATACCACGTACGAGATTCTTAGAACATAGATGCCCTAAGCTTCTATAGTTTAAGTGCCCTAACCTCTTATGCCACAGCTTACTGTTACTTTCAGCACCTTCTGCACTAAGGCACGTTGCTTCAGCTGTTTCTACATTCACCTTGAATGTTCTGTTGCCTCCTTGTTCAGATTTCATAATTAACTTCTGATTGGAATCATACAACGTCAGAAGATTGTTTTTCATAACAACTGAAAAGCCTTTCTCAATCAGCTGACCTACGCTCATCAGATTGCTTCTAATACTAGGAACATACCAGACGTCTTTGATCAGAATGTCTTTCCCATTCTTCACTTTAATTCTGACATCTCCCATACCTTCTGCATTAAGATATTTATCGTTAGCACATCTGATCTTTGTACTCCTTCTGGAGTCAAAGTCTGTCAGCCATTGTTTGTTTCCAGTTAAATGATTTGAGCAGCCAGTGTCTATATACCACCAATCTTCTGAGCATTTACCATCAGAGTCAGAGGCCATTACCAGTACAGGTTCATCATCAGAGTTTCTCTTATCCATATATGCTTCTTCTGATTTTGTATCCCTGTTTGACCTACATCTCTGGCAAAATGGCCCAATTGTTTACAGGAGTAACATTGAACCTTCCTTTTGTCATACCTCTCTTTTCCTTTATGATACTTCTTATCATCAGAAGTTGAGGCTTCTGACTTCTGGAATCTATCACCACGTCTATTCTGCTTCTGGTCTTTCTTGACAAAAGAAGCCTTCAGAGCTTGCTCAGCTTCTCTCTCAGAAGTTCTCTCAGACAGACGTAACTCCTGTGCTTCTAAGCTGCTTTGTAATTCTTCTATTTTCATGGTTTCCAAATTTTTAGAATGTTCAATAGAAACAACAATGTAATCAAACTGAGGAGTGAGCGACCTCAGAATCTTCTCTATGATTACCTGTTCAGTCAGAGTTTCTCCACACGCCTTTATCTCGTTAGTGATCAGAATCACTCTGAAGATATATTCAGAAACTTTCTCACTGCTCTTCATGTTCAGGTTCTCATATTGCTTTCGTAGGGATTGAAGCTTCACCTTCTTTACTGATGCGTCAGCACCGTAACATCTCATCAGTAAATCCCACGCCCCTTTAGACGTTGTTGAATCAGCAATCTTCTCGAACACATTTTCATCCACACACTGATGGATATAGAACAGAGCTTTCTGGTCCCTCTTTCTCATCAACCTCTCAGCAGTTCTCTGTTCTTCAGTTGCATCTGCTGCAGCTGGTACATAACCATCTGTAATCAGATCCAGAACATCTTGTGCACCGAACAGTACACGCATTTGTATCATCCATTTGTTCCAGTTTTTGTCATTAAAAACTGGAAGTTTAGTGTTCAAACTACCGTCTCCACTCATTTTAAACCTTGCACGGATTTTCATATCTTAAACACACTGGTTCCTCAAACACACAGCTCACAACCACTCGTGCTTCCCAGGAAAAACAGAACCAAAAGCTCTAGATACCAATTTGTTGGTGCAAGGTAATGGAAGGAGAGAAAAAGAATGAACAATGAATGATAACAAAGAGAACTACTTCTTAATATTCAAATAGAGGAATGAATTTGGGATACAATATTGATAGCCTATGTAGCATATTTATACTAGAAGTTGAAAATGCCAAAAGGCCCTAATAAAGAGTAAGTTTGGGAATTGTGGACATTAAATAAATTACATTTCCAATAAGACTCATTTTAGAATTTTTGATAGGTTAAATAGATATTTGAAAAATATAATTGAGTTTTTTAAATAATTTAAAATTTTGATATAATATAAAAAATAAGTAAAGTTTATTTAAAAAACCCAAATGAATATGATGAACGTAAATACTCTTATGCGACACTGTAAGTACAAACATATTCGTTACGTACATATATCGAAGAAATGACATTTTTTACCCAAATTCAAATAGTATCTCACATATACACATAACCTTACGCACATGTTACAAATTTAACAGAAATCTCCATGAATGCCTCACAATTTCTTCAATTACAATCAAATCACATGTCATCATGCATGAGACATGTTGTAAGTGAATTCAAATTATATTGGACCTTGCATCTTCTAGGGTGAATTTTCCATCTCATTTTTATTATATGGAAAGATAAATTTAAAATACATATCCGAACGCATTTTTCATAAAACAAATATTAAATTGGTTTGAATGTGCATTTCCAAATTCATCTTAAAATAATTTAGAAATGCATATTCAAAAACACTCTAACTCATTTACTATACATTTTTATTGAAATTTGTGCAGTTTTTAGGGACTGTCGGTTTTTATCAATATTAGAGTCTTAGCAATTGTATTCCTGTGTTCTAACCTTTGCATTTCTGGCATTTACGCGACCTAACGTAAAAAATTCAGTTTTCTAAAAAATCGACTCTATCAAAATTGTATCATGTCAATTCCTCAAAAAAAGACCAGGAATCCTCCCAAAATATGGGACACCACCCTAAAAACCTTAAATTCCTTGTTTTTATATTTTATTTGATTCATTTTTCATTTTCATATTTTCGAAAAATATCCGAAAATAATTGTAGACACTTAATTTGATTTTATTTGATTTTTCGTTGTATTTTCATATTTTTTTAATTGTTTTTCTATTTTTCAATGGTTTTTCTCAATAGGAATATTGTTGGTATTTACATATTTGTTGTATTGTTGATGCATGTTTATTAAGTGTGTCGATCCGGATACATTCAATACTAAGTTTACAAAAAACACAACAGTGAATTTTTTAGATATGCATATCTGAATTCACTATTTTTTTGTAAAAAAAGAAAAATTAAAGTTTATTCAGAGATGCATATCCGAAAATACATTTTTTTCGTAAAAAAATAAGACTTATTTGGATATGCATTTCTGAAATTGAGTATTTTTTGGAAAAATGGTGTTAACACACAAACGAGCAAATTTGGTACAATCCTATGGAAAATCGAAATTGTCCCTCCGTTTTCGAAAATATATTTTCAAACGAACACTTTGCACCACACACAAACGAGTAAATTCGACACAACCCTAAAGTCAAATTAAAAAATATTCTGGAGATACATCTCTGAGAGTATAATATAATAAATTGAGAAAGAACCGTTACAGAAAAAATTCTGGAGATGTAACTCTGATAAATTTATACAGGAACTTGAAATACTGTCACATTTGTATGTCAGATTATTTCGGAGATGCATCTCCGAAAAAATCAAATGTGGAATTGCTAAAAAAACAACATGCGTGATCATACTTCATTTGTCATATTTTCCTTAAACCCCCTCCAAAAATCTTTTTATTCTCAATCAAGTTTTTCTCTCCAAATCTCCATTCTTGTGTTTCATCAAATCAAAAGGAACTAAAGGAAGTGAAATTTAAAATAAATAGCATTCATTTATTAAAAAGATGCAAGACTACACTAAATTGAACAAGATTGAAATAGAAATAAATAAAGAAAAGTCAAAGGAGGTATCACCTGTAAATTTGGCATGTGACAATTATTTCTATTCATTTAAGTAGTTATTTATCATTTTATTGTAAGTGACATTTAATTAATGTGTTATGATGTTTAATATATATATTTTGTAGTTTGTCAAAAAAAATTGTATTGAATACAAGTTTCTGACTGTTATGTTATGTCATGAAAGATTCTGAAAATACATCTCCAAATTAAAGGAACAAGGGTGGTTTTAGAGTTACATTTCTGAAATATGTTAGGTCACAAGATAGGGTTTGTGAGATTCATAATAGCCTCCCACTATTATAAATAAACTCACTTGTCATATTGTTTCATACCAAAACACAAAAAACAGAATGAACATCATTTGGCACGTTAGAAATATTCACTTTACCGATAAATACACCATAACAAGAATTTAAGATCAGTGAGTACACACGGCAGGAGCTTCTATCATATGGCAACATTCGCAAAATTGTGAATATCGAATACTACTCGTCATCCATTGACATAGAAGGAAATCTTGAGTTCAAAAACCATGAACTGATGACGGCCACTGATTTAAGGACTATGTGGAGAAGCTTCCTCTATTTAAAATCAAAAATTCTAATCGAGCTAGATGCAACTGTTTCAAAATCGATCGATGATATTATCAAGATATTAAAACGCCCACCTGAATATTAAATTGTAATGTTTGATCTATGTCAAAATCCTTTATGTATTGGTGATTTTATTATATCAATAGTGTTTTCAATTTGTCAGATTGTTGTTTTTTCATTATATTTTTTTTTTCTGCTACAGAAAATTTAAGAAATATACATCCGAACACATTACACATATACATCTCTGAAAAATCTTATGATTTAGTAACCTTTTTAGTGCGTCCAAAGATACATCTCTGAAAACTATAAAAATATTGATATTTTCGCACAATGCGATAGAAAATTATAGAGTGCATTTAGAAATTCCCAATATTTTTAATCAATTCAATAACTCCAAAATTCAATAATGAGCGATAATACTAGATAGAAAAGAGTTGACAAAAGAAGAAAATAAAAATTAATTCAAATGAGAAATAGACTTCGGCAACAAAAAAAGTCCTTAATGTAAATAACAGTGAAATGAATTAACTGGTCAAGAAAAAGCTTATTACCAGAACATGCCTCTTTGAAGTCAATGAAGCAATTATAGTAATACAACATCGCAATTTGGTAATCTCAGATTAAACTGTCAGTTTACAGACAGACTGATATATATAAATAACTAATCTTTCAAGCTATAATCACAGGAATATGCATTTTTAAAATCAACGTGTATATACGAGTCCAAACAAAAAATCAAACTATAAACTGCTCCAAAAAAATAATCAACCAGCAAAAGCAAGAAACGTAAAGCCTCCCCATTATTATTTATTAATCAGGGGCTCCCAACCTTAGTATTGTACTCAAATATTTCAATCAGTTCTTTCTCTTGCCTTTCTATATGATACACCAGAATTTATATAACTAAAATGGTTGGATCCTGCCCTCTCAAAAGAATCCCTCTCCCTAAAACTATTACTACTCCTACTTGTATCTAACTTCCTATGCTCTATACTTAAATTATGATTATGATGCAAATGAGAAACGCATCCCTCGCTAACCGCTCTCCTCCTATACAAAAGACCGTCCGTTTCCCCCCCCTTGAACACGTGGAGGAAGTAACACTCCCGCCTCGTCCTGAGTTACCAAAAACATAATCCGCAAATTCGTCGGTACCTGTTGAATCACCGGTGCTATCTGTGCTGCAAGAACATTCATCAGAATTGTTGCTGATGAGGGATGAATTATCACTTGATGAGTCTTCTTCCATGATACTTTTCATGCGATGAAACTTCGAATGGATAGTTTCTAAGGCAGGTAGATCATATGGAGAGACTGAATTAGTCATGTATTTAGCAGAATCAGAATGTGAATATGAATGTTTGTGTTTCGTTGTGATGGTTTTTCCATGGACTTTGCCTTTTGAATCTGACACTATCATGTCTCTGATTAATCTTGGGGCCCTAGGTGAGCACCTGCAAGGTGATTCAAGTTAGATGTACAGTAAAAAAAATTTTAAAAAAACACTCACGGTATAGAGAAAACAAGATATTAGTTACCCACACTGAAAAATTATGAAATAAAACAGATGAGTTACCTTGCATACAAAAGCATGTAGGCGCCTTTCGTTAAGACTGTTTGCAATTCAACAGGCGTCACCTATAGGACAAATAGGAGAGCTGATTAAATGAGTTCAAGGTAACAGCTTCAGTGGAAATATCAGCAGATAAAACAAAATTATTGTCTTTAATTGATAAACACTGGCTTTATATGAAAAAAAAATCCATAAACTCATGTTGGGTCCAAAATTGGTATTCTGGGTATAATTGTTAAAGTTAATAAATCTTGGCATGGAATTTGGACTAGATCTAACTCAGCCTTAAAAGCAAAGGTAATTAACAGTTCGAACGGTTGAACTTGTGTCCAGAGTGAAAACCAGCAGTTTGGCCAATTTAACTTGTTGGACCGTATTTTGGTACTTAATTAAAAAAAAGACCAAAACAGCATCATTTAGGTGTCTCAGATGAAATGACGTTTAGTAGTAAGAACACCACACAGGCATTTTTCTATTTTATAACTGATGTCTATCCTATTTTCTTCCATGGCTTTCGTTGTGGGACTTCACAAAACCTGCTGAATTTTGTTTTAACTGATGGTAAACAGAGAGCTATGGCGCTATTGTAGATGGAGATGTGAAGAGGAGTCTGTCAAATTGTTAATCTATCATCCACCTGGTCAACATATCCACCAACACAGCCCCATTATTCTTCCGTTCACACTCAAAACTACTGCCACAGCCCCCAACAACTCCCCCATCAACAATTTTTAAAATCTAAACCATAAATTTGGTAGGTTTACTCTTCACAATAATAGTTGAGAAGATCACCAAAAAAAGTACTACTATATTTTGTAGTTTGAAGACTACGGAAAAAAAAAAGTACAAGACTAAAAAAAAAGCATACTAGACTAAAAGAGTGATGGTATTTTCTACTGGACTTGAATTTTTAATTCTTCAAAAGTCATAAAGATAAACATTAACTTTTGGTTATTATTTTTTACTTTACTGTATGAAAATTTTAAGATAAACCTAATTATTATTACCGGTTCGACCCCGACCGGACCTTTAAACTTAGAACCAGTAACCTACACCAGTTCAATGTCTGTTTCGGCTCTAAGTATTTTGCTAAAAACTAGTTCGTAAAGTAGGAAGTCCCTCCACTTTATAAGAGCACTATACTTTTGGTCATATATGCCTATATGTCAAGTCCATGTGGGAGTAAACATTAGCCTTTACACCCACCAGCATATTAAAGATGCTTGAGGCTACGATGAAAGCAATCCAACATAGCCACAATAAAGGTGGCCTACAGATTGAATGATCATAAAATCAGGTTGTATTGGATAACTGCAGATAAAAATTTCAACTTATAAGCTTGATAAGACGGACCACTAACTAAAGAAAGCATAAATTCACAGAAATACAACCACCCAAAATACTTATATGCAAATAAATGGAAATGGACACATACCACACTGTCATCAACCTTGAACCAACTGTTTTGGAAATTTTTCACATAGGACACATAGTGACCTGAAAAAGCCGCATTCATGGTATCCAAGTGTACGACGACTCCGTACAGCCGGTATATAGCCAAATCACTAGACCCACTCATGAAAGGTGCCAAGTCAAGTATTTCAGGAAACCGAATTGGCTTATTGAGCTTCCCATATTTTCCAGACTGCACAGATTTAATTGAGTATTAAATATGCATACAATACGTGTATTAAAATATGCATACAATACATGTATTAAAATAGTTTCCTTGCATATATACCCGAAATCTCTTCAATGCAATTGTAAGAACATTAGGTGCCTCTGAAACTGCCATTTGCTTTTTTGCCCTCTCATAAGATTTACATCTGTTTAACATGAAAGCAGATTATCAGTAATAAGGAAACTCCTTCGATAACCAAAAATTTTGAAAGACGACTTGAACAACTATGCCAAATGTTTCAACAATAAACACATCAGAAATCATAAAAAGAAAGCAAGTGGAAGACAACAATCATTGAACAAGAATAACAGGGGAAAAGAAACGATTTAATCAAAACACGACTGCTAAATTTCACCTTCCAATTAAATTGATCGGCACTATCCAGATAAAAAACGTATGACTTTAGTCCTCACAATAAATTAGGTCATGAACAAGCATTTGAAACCCGTTTAAGATTTTGATACATGCCATACAATGAAAGTAGGCCATGAAATAGCATTTTAAACCTCGTTTAAGATTTTGATACATGCCATACAATAAAAGTAGGCCATGAACAAGCATTTTAAGCCTTAGAAAGATATTTTTTATAGAATAATATTTTTAAGAAGTTCGTTATATCTATATTTTCTATAC